TAATCTCGAGGAAATAAAGTTAAATTTCATCGTGTATTGTCTGTCGAAATTATTTATAAATTACGTTTTATATATTTCTATGTATCTTCAACGAAATATAATACCTAATTAATTATTATTGCTCTTAATGACTTACCTTGTATATTACACTTGTATGCTGATTAAGCTACAGTTCTTTGCAGCAATTAATTGTGCGCTATCGCCATGAAAGCCGTTAATGTTCAGCGTAACTGCCGTTCGACCCGTCCGACTATCTCGAAAGAACATCAAATACTGACTAAAATATGAAAGCTTTCCAGCAAACGACACAAGTCGACACTAACGTCATCCTATTTTTCTTTTTTGCAATGAGTAACGAACAAAGCAACACTTGTGTCGCTTGCTGGATTGCTCCCAATGTCAATCTTCGATGTTTTGATAGATACATATGTCATGTAAATACACAGTGCCTCACGCAACTGTTCGACTCGTACCGTTACACATTTTTTTTAAATATTTGTGGACAAAGATATCTACAGGAAGATCATAAATCATAAATAATTGACTATATAATTGCCAATTTTATAATAAATTTAATATATTCAGCTACAAAGTTATAAAAATATTTAAAGAAACACACTAGAGTAAAAATTATAAAGCACATGCATAATTTACTACCAATCACAGATATGGCAAAAAATTATATCTTATACATATATGTCACAAGAATTTGAAATTGTGTTGATAACTGAAATTATTAATACAAACGGAATATGCTTGATCTGAAAGATTATTTCGCTATATTTGAACGCTAATGTATTTATTTAGATTTGTTTTATAAAAGTAGTTTTAGCTAACTATAATAAATAAATGTAAAGTATATATAGAAAGAAATGAATGTAATAAAAATCTGATAAATAAATGGAATTAATATATATGTAAATAATAAATGGAATATAAGATATACCTTGTCAAGAAAGAGAGTTGCTTTTTAGTATAAATATTACAAAATATCCATACCTCTTTATATTCCAAAAAATTAATAAATATATAAAATATGTAGTATGTATAGTAGACGAAATAAAAATATATAAAGTAAACGAAAATATGCAATGTGTAAGATGATGAAAGTGAGGGTTATGAATAATATTAAATTATAAAAAGTTAACAGAAACGTTTATTCTATATAGTAATTAGTACTGTTTAAGTAAAGTTTTTTACAATGTTTAGTACAATGCAACGTCATTATTTCGCGTTTTCTATTTAAAGTCAAACAACGATTATAATTGATTATAATTATTATTAACATATATGTAGGTATCGCTATTAGAAAATGATACTATCATATAATATCTACAAAAAATTTTATTAATATTCATGTTGAAACAATTCATTCGCATAATCTCCTATACTGAGTAATAAATCAATGTTAGTACGTTTATAAAAGATATTTTATGAAAAATATCAAACAACATATCAAACCTAATACTATATAAATTATTTGTTAATTACACAACAGAAATATGTCATAGATAATTTTATCAATAGCTTCCAGACTATTAATAAAATACTAAATATCATAAAAATATTAAAAAGTATTAGAAATAATTAAAAATGAATAAGATATTATTTACAAAACGGTAATAATAAATAAAAATATTATTTGGAAAATTATGCAGATAATTATATTGTCTTGCATCACATTTGATATTTTTGATTGATCAGATCAATTGGTCACTTAAGTTTGATTTCTTCCAAATTGCTTTGTAAAAATATCTACGGACTCTTTAAGATTATTTTTACGATTTTCTATCAGCTTTCTAATGCTTGACAAAGTGTTTGGATCTTTGAAATAAGTTTCTGCGAATCTGTTCACCTGAAACAGGTTAGTTGAAAATATTTATCAATAATAAGTAGTAATTTATTCCTATGCAACGATTCTATAAAGTATAATTTTTTATTTAACACAACACTAACAGAGCATGGTATGCATATAAATATACATTTAATCCCTTAACTGTGGAATTATATATATAATATATATAATATATATATATATATATATATATATATATATATATATATATATATATATATATATATATATATATCGTAAAAAATTGTCTTCTATTTGCAGAAAATATATACATTAACATCCACGAAAATCTACTATTAATTAAAGAAGGCATACACACATATACTTATATGTACATGTATATTAATATTCAGTACTCAATTATCAATTTACAACACAGTAATATTCTTAGAATTAATTACCATATTATAAAAATTTAGTTTTAAACCACGCGCAAGTATTACTCAGTTTTAAACATAGCTTTATAAGATACAAATATATAGCCCAAAAATTTGAACCGAATTAATTATAAATATTAATTTAATTATGTAAAGTTGCATTAATCTATAATTCCATGCACGATGAACGTTTCATTTAAGCGCGCTACAGTTAAAGGATTATTATCAATAAAAAATCAATAAGTATGAATCTAGTATTATAAAATTTACCCTGGATATTTGTTCGTTAGAGAAAACATTCGAAATGATTTTTTTTATCGTTAGAGTTGTAAGAAATAATCTGTAAAAACAAAATAACATATTTATGTATAAACTACATTTATGTATAAGATACATTTATTTAAAAATAGAATGTATATTTGTAAAGAGAAATGTATTACCTGGGTATTATATTATTAAAATCTACTAATATGTAGTGAAGGACCAAATCGTTGCGTGCATGGGCTTCAAGAATTAAATTGAAGATCAATGCATGCTGCTTATGGTTAAATAATGTAGTATTGGATGCTGTAATATTCAAATAGTTAACAATGATATCAGGATCTTCAGCACAATTCAATATTTTCCAAAATTTCTTATCAGATGTTCGCTGATATAGTTCCATTATTTTATCCCAAGTAGTCCTATTAGCTACCGCTAGACCAAAGCAGTACGTCCAATCTTCCCACCATTGTGGAACTCTAAAATACATATATATGTCTATGAAAAAGAGGTACATGCAATCCACTCCATACGCACAGTCGACGTTTTATTTTATAAAGTTTTGTATTTTTGTCTGTTTTGTTAGGTAACTCTTATTCTGCAAAATTAATAAGTTTCTACTATATCTGTCACGTAACCATAAGACTACGTGTGAACACAGCAAACGAATAAATATATGAAAGATGAATCCATCCATAATGTCTCTTTTTATTACATATATTTTTACTTGTTTCGCATATTTATTCTATGTATTAAAACAGGAATAGAAATTAAGAAAAAACAATAAAGAGACTGTCTGATCTCGATGATTCAAAGAAATAAAAAAAATCGATTACATCCATATGCATACGTGCGCGCGCATACGCAACTCACATGCACAAATATAAATTATGAGATAATCATGATCATAAAAAGTGTTACTTGTGAGTATTAGGATCCGCGAGATGTTCGCTCAATTTAACAGCGGCCTTTCTTTTACATTCTACGTGACCGACAGTACATGCCCATTTCAGGGCATTTAGCCTTAGCATCTTTGTGATATCGTCATCATCAGGATTTTCTTCGTATCCCACATGCTGAAGAACCCCATCAAAGATTTCTACCATGTGTGACTAGAAATCATGAAATAATATTGTATTTTATATTGGTATATACATGCGAAAAGTGACGTGATTTATATATATATATATATATATATATATATATATATATATATATATATATATAATATATATATATATATATATATATATATATATTATAAAACCGACCGCGACAGACTTTATGACAAAGCGGTGAATGTGTAAATACAGAACTGGCCAAATTAAAGAGCCAAATATTTTTTTCATTTTTATAGTTATTACATACCTTGAAACTTTTGCTCTCTGGCAGTGAAAAGTACTCCTCATTCCGTTCTAATATTCGGAACATTGGACGCCATGCCACATAATCTCTCTCTCGTCTTAGGTAGTGTATAAGATTCATAAATACGGAACTATCTAGTTGATCTTCGAGCAAAAAAGCATATGCATCATCGATAATTTGAGCACGATTGAGGACGTGTATGTTCTTGTATTCCTCAGAGTTCAAGTAACGTATGATTCTTTCCATATTTGTGTTATCGTAATAGACACGACAGTATGCTGTCAAATTATACCATTAAATTTATTATTAGACCTTCTTATTCGAAATTATCAAAATATGTTTCTAAATACTGCCATTTTATCGTAACTAACAAACTAGTGTAGTGTACAACTTGCAAATATTACAGAAAAAATACATTAATAATTTAGCAAGGTTTCGAAAAATATAATTACATGAATTTCCTTGAGCTTTTTTTTTTTAATAGAAAAGTATATAAAAATTTGAATGATGTAGAACCTTTGAGATAATAAAACAAATAAGATAAATAAAAAAACGTAATATTTAATAATTCATACCAGTTTGTTGTACATTTACGATAATCCAATCTCTTATATTAATTTCCACTCTACTAGTTTGATCTGGTCCTAACCAATTATTGGGCATGGTATTGGAAAAATCCAAATTGCTCTGGTCGGCATAGGTCATGGGTATCCACCATTTATTATTGATACATTCAGTTACGCGGAAACATTTTTGTGTTACTGCCACTTCGCCAGTTTTGTAATTTATCGTTACATTTAGCACAGGGTAACGATTTTGGTTTATCCACGTGTCCATCACATCTTTTATTTTAAAATCTTGTTGTTGCATATAAGAAATATAAGGGGCCATCTGCAGAGCACTTTGCATGGCGCTCCACAAATCGTCGGGAGTAACCGATCCAAATGGACTAAATTTGGAAGATGACATTGTCATTAGCTATAATAAATACTTACGACGTATGTGTATAAATTTACTATTATGGAATTAACGTGTAATGTACAACTTAATTAATACACATGTGGGAACCAAGAATATAACTTAAAACTAGCTTAGTCAAACTATAATTAAGGAACAAAGTATGGTCTCTTCTAATCGAATAGCATTGGATATTGACGCACAAGTTTATATTTCTGATGTGGCATACTATATTTTCCAACGTAAATGCAAGAATTATACTTATGATATTTAATGTTGCTATGTGTGATAACTACAATAGACTACATTGTACATACATACTTACTTTGTAGCAAAATACTCGATAATACCCTTTCGAAATACCTCGTCGCCCACTGCATAATATAACATGCGCAATATAGCTGGAGCTACAATACACAGCATAAAATACTGATTAATAATACATGTAAAGTATATTTTATATACTTTTATACATAAAATTAAGACATATGTGAACGTATTGCGCAAAACGAGAATTTTTTGTCTATTGACTTTCTGTTGCACCTCTGTCTTCGTGCTATCTACATTAAGATAATCATGGATGACATAATTTCATTTTATTTACATAATTTTACCTTTTCCAAAAATTTGATTAACAAAGAGTTGGTTAACCAAGGTATCGTTAGCGTGAAAGTTCAATGTAAGAACCAATAAGCTAACAGAATCCAAAGAGCCATCATCTAGATGGAGAGAATCGTGCATGACCTCAGTAACGAAACAGTCCATTGACCGCCAGTCTTCAAATATCTATGACAAAAAAATTCCTTTGATATGACTGAATATAAAAATTCGAAAAGTTCGCATTTACAGGGAACGCATTTACAAACCTATCTGTCCGCCACTTTTAAAAACTTCGTTATTTTAATTTTTATTGTAATTTATTTATGTCAAATAAATGTTAACCGTTTCACGTATAATTTCTTTTACGAAGATCATACTTCAATTATTTTTTAAGATAATGTGCATTACTGAATACAAAGATAAAATCAAGATATAAAAATTCTAAAAGTTAAATTTCTTTGTTAATTATTTATTGTGATGAATGCGAAAAATAAAATACGCTAAGATTCTAATAAAATTATTACAATAATAATCATTGTATCGCCAAATATGAATTAATGTTGAAATATAAAAGATTAAACAGCAAATCTTTATGATGGGCTGGGGAGGAGACAAGTGCTGAAAACATAATATTCTCGAATTTTAATAAAAATTAGTATTAAATGCTTTGTTCTAGTTATTCAGAAAAACAGTGTTACAATCTTTCTTATAATTCTAAGATAAAGAATTGCAATTAGTTATTTCGCTCTGTCTTGATATATTTTATAAGAATATTGCAATATTTAATGGATGTTATTTTTTTATTTTAGAAAATGAAGTGTATTTCCAACTTTTCTATTTAATGAGCAATTCATTGCATTAGTAATATTAAACAACCTTGTTGAGGGAATACACTTGGAAGAACACAGCAAACCCCTCGCTTAACCACAGGTCAGACCACCAAGATGGGTTGATGAAATTGCCGAACCACTGATATGCGATTTCATATGCTACTAACGATGCTATATTCCTTCTCTGAAATGTAGGATCCTTGCTATCATCGTAGACAACTTTTGATTCGCTAAAAGACATAACATAACATTATATTCAAAATGTGATTATGCCTAGTTTTTTTTCATTGTTAGCATGCAGTCTAATGTGTTTATATATATATATATATATATATATATATATATATATATTATATATCATGGAAAGAAAGAATGACATTCACATCAATTAAATATGTTAATTTATTTTAAAACAACCTCAGAATGAAAATATGTAAATGAAATTTAAATATCCATAAAATACGCATTTTCTATCGTTTTTAATTATCAAACTTTGAATGCTAGAAGTTATTCGTCAGTTCTAATAGCTTCGTATTAATTATTTTTATTCATGTACATATTAATAAATCTCTTATAGTTATGAATATTACTCGTAAATGATGATTCCCCAATCTCCCATGCCGGCGATCGGATAATTTGGTACCATGACGTAATCTATTTTCGGTACCCCTTTGGTTTTATTGGTATACTCCTCCAAGAGCGGCGTAACCCGTTCGGCAATGCTTAGCACGAATCTTGCTTGCGATGTCAAAGACGATCTGCACCACACATTAACGGACTGGTCGGTGTTAGTAAAGCGAACAAAATTTGATACAATCACAATTCCCACAAGATAAGCGGATACTGTAGAAGTGCGGTCGAAGTATGTCACTTTCATGTCATTTTCTGTGAAGTAATAATTTCGCATCGGCCAATTTGATAATACCGTGTATTTCTCATGATGTATCACGGTGATCATGAAGTAAGCTTTTATCGCTGGCTCGTCCCAACATGGAAACATTCGTCTGGCTTTATTCGGCACGAGGAGTGTTGCGGCCAACCTGTGATTTTAAACAATTTTTTAAATAAGGACAAAAATACCACTATCATGGTATAAACTTACCACTCATAGCGAGTAGGACACGAGAAGTTAAAGAACACTTAATTATTGTTTATATATTATATGTTTATTATATTATATGTAATTATTATTTTGTTGAGAGTAGAAACAGAAATGTTGTACTCTGCTATGTTGTTTCATTTTAAACAAAAGTAAATATTCTTTTAAACATTACATGCACTTTTTGCAAATACTTTATTGTAAATATATTTACATACTAGAAAACGGTTTTAATAATAAAATGGATACACATTCTAAACTGTGTTTTGCCGTGTTTTATATACATTGTAAGTCGATAACGATGAAAGTAGTAAATGAAAAAGGTAATAAGTAAAAGTAACAATAAATAAGGTAACAACAATAGCATTTACGTATGTACGTACGTTACAAAGTATATTTTTACTATTTGCTTACGTTCTGTTTTTTTCCTCGTCTGTGTACGGAATTTTTATAAAACCACCACTGCCAGAACCTATCTGAGAGAAATTACCAGCAAACTTCATGTTCAAGGTGTAATTACCGCGATACAATTGCTCTTCGAAATATAGCGATAATATATTCGTTTTATGGTCATAAGTATGGTTCGTCGGTTTATATGTTATTGTGTCGTTCATCAATGTTGTCGCCATTTCATTTATTTTTAATCCTTGCGAGTGTAAGCTTATGTAAAACGATTCGCGAACAATGCTGACAGTGACATTGGTTTCACCGTGATAAGTATTGCTTTTTTCTAAATCCGGAATAATCAGCCCGATGTGATAATCAACTGGTATTGAGTTGGTGGGTAAACGATGTATATGTCCTGGATCATCAGCGATACAAAAGTCCCTGACTGTGGCCAATATTAAACCGATATATAATAACAATTTTGGGAATTCCATGTCAATACTCGTCTTAGTTTCTGTAACTTTTCGTTAAAAAAAAAACAATTAAATAATAATACAATGCGGTACAAGTTATTGAAATTTAATATTAATTTTTATACAAAAATCGAAGGAACAAAGGAGAAAAAAAAAGGAAAAACATAATTCCAACTTTTATCAAGACGATTACATATGTACGACCTACTTCGCAGAAAATTATGAATATTTTTTTATAGAATATTGGATGTATATCTTGATGTGCTCGCAATTAATTTATTCTGTTATTCTTATATTTTCTTCGAATTAAGAGAAAATTATTTTATTCAGTTTTCGAGAAGAATTTTACGCATCTAACGCGACGTGTGTATATATTTTTGATTTGGCTATATAGAATATTTCATTGAAAGTAAAAAACGTAAATATTGTTATAGTATGTAGAATTTGAATTATTTAGTTGTCAGTTATAGCAGTGTTGAATTCCTTTCGCTTATCATTTCTGTGCCTTGAATATACTTGAAGGAAAAATTATAGGAAATAACGTAAACTATTTCAAAGAACGAAAGTAATTAACATTTTTTATCGCATGACCGTTAATTCTATTTATTTGTCAATAACAATAATAATCTTGTTTTTTGTTTAACATTCTTTTCTATGTTCGAAACGTTATGTGTATCAAGGTCATTTCAAAATTTATATTAAATTTTTTGCTTTCCAGTTTTCATTAATACGCAGCAACGATAAGAAACAAAATATGTCGACTGATTAAAAAAATACATTATTTAAAATGAAAATTTACTGCATTCCATGAGTATAATCTCGAGGAAATAATCTCGAGGAAATAAAGTTAAATTTCATCGTGTATTGTCTGTCGAAATTATTTATAAATTACGTTTTATATATTTCTATGTATCTTCAACGAAATATAATACCTAATTAATTATTATTGCTCTTAATGACTTACCTTGTATATTACACTTGTATGCTGATTAAGCTACAGTTCTTTGCAGCAATTAATTGTGCGCTATCGCCATGAAAGCCGTTAATGTTCAGCGTAACTGCCGTTCGACCCGTCCGACTATCTCGAAAGAACATCAAATACTGACTAAAATATGAAAGCTTTCCAGCAAACGACACAAGTCGACACTAACGTCATCCTATTTTTCTTTTTTGCAATGAGTAACGAACAAAGCAACACTTGTGTCGCTTGCTGGATTGCTCCCAATGTCAATCTTCGATGTTTTGATAGATACATATGTCATGTAAATACACAGTGCCTCACGCAACTGTTCGACTCGTACCGTTACACATTTTTTTTAAATATTTGTGGACAAAGATATCTACAGGAAGATCATAAATCATAAATAATTGACTATATAATTGCCAATTTTATAATAAATTTAATATATTCAGCTACAAAGTTATAAAAATATTTAAAGAAACACACTAGAGTAAAAATTATAAAGCACATGCATAATTTACTACCAATCACAGATATGGCAAAAAATTATATCTTATACATATATGTCACAAGAATTTGAAATTGTGTTGATAACTGAAATTATTAATACAAACGGAATATGCTTGATCTGAAAGATTATTTCGCTATATTTGAACGCTAATGTATTTATTTAGATTTGTTTTATAAAAGTAGTTTTAGCTAACTATAATAAATAAATGTAAAGTATATATAGAAAGAAATGAATGTAATAAAAATCTGATAAATAAATGGAATTAATATATATGTAAATAATAAATGGAATATAAGATATACCTTGTCAAGAAAGAGAGTTGCTTTTTAGTATAAATATTACAAAATATCCATACCTCTTTATATTCCAAAAAATTAATAAATATATAAAATATGTAGTATGTATAGTAGACGAAATAAAAATATATAAAGTAAACGAAAATATGCAATGTGTAAGATGATGAAAGTGAGGGTTATGAATAATATTAAATTATAAAAAGTTAACAGAAACGTTTATTCTATATAGTAATTAGTACTGTTTAAGTAAAGTTTTTTACAATGTTTAGTACAATGCAACGTCATTATTTCGCGTTTTCTATTTAAAGTCAAACAACGATTATAATTGATTATAATTATTATTAACATATATGTAGGTATCGCTATTAGAAAATGATACTATCATATAATATCTACAAAAAATTTTATTAATATTCATGTTGAAACAATTCATTCGCATAATCTCCTATACTGAGTAATAAATCAATGTTAGTACGTTTATAAAAGATATTTTATGAAAAATATCAAACAACATATCAAACCTAATACTATATAAATTATTTGTTAATTACACAACAGAAATATGTCATAGATAATTTTATCAATAGCTTCCAGACTATTAATAAAATACTAAATATCATAAAAATATTAAAAAGTATTAGAAATAATTAAAAATGAATAAGATATTATTTACAAAACGGTAATAATAAATAAAAATATTATTTGGAAAATTATGCAGATAATTATATTGTCTTGCATCACATTTGATATTTTTGATTGATCAGATCAATTGGTCACTTAAGTTTGATTTCTTCCAAATTGCTTTGTAAAAATATCTACGGACTCTTTAAGATTATTTTTACGATTTTCTATCAGCTTTCTAATGCTTGACAAAGTGTTTGGATCTTTGAAATAAGTTTCTGCGAATCTGTTCACCTGAAACAGGTTAGTTGAAAATATTTATCAATAATAAGTAGTAATTTATTCCTATGCAACGATTCTATAAAGTATAATTTTTTATTTAACACAACACTAACAGAGCATGGTATGCATATAAATATACATTTAATCCCTTAACTGTGGAATTATATATATAATATATATAATATATATATATATATATATATATATATATATATATATATATATATATATATATATATATATATATCGTAAAAAATTGTCTTCTATTTGCAGAAAATATATACATTAACATCCACGAAAATCTACTATTAATTAAAGAAGGCATACACACATATACTTATATGTACATGTATATTAATATTCAGTACTCAATTATCAATTTACAACACAGTAATATTCTTAGAATTAATTACC